ACACACACACACACACACTTGAAAATCTGCTTAACATTCATTGTGGTCAAAATGGAAAGATGTGTGCCTCTGAAAGCTCATATTCAGGAACTATTTTCCATGGTCAACTTCACCTTAGATGCTTTTGAAGAGATAGATGTGTATGAATAAGGTTTCTTCTTTATCGGAAAGTAATCTTGGGGTCTGGCCAGGCATTTATCAGCTCTGTAACTTGAAAATCCTAAATATTTTTGGTTCCTTTTCTCCAAATTTCATAATTTTCCCATTATACTGGGCACTTAGGACCATAACCAGAGTTCTAAAGGTTTCATGGAAACCAAAGATATGTTAATTAAACTGAATGTTATTTAAAGTCTTAAATGTCCGATTACAAATGAATCCCAGGCCTGATACTCACTTCCTGAGACATTTCATGTTTAGAAAATTATATTTTTAAGTTATATGATTAAAAAAAAAGGAACCTAAGGATCTTGAGCCAGAAGACATATTACAGTTCATGTAACTCAGCATCGCAGCTGAGGCTTGGATCTCCAGTCACATTTCCACCTCACTATATCCAATCTGTAGTTAGAACTTGCACAAAAATTTCAAACTTGCTGTTTCCTACGTCCATTTAGCTACAATCCTCATAAGCAAAAATTGAAAGCAGAACTAAAAAGAGACTCAATGTTGATGTCAAGTGCCTCAATTTTTTAATTCTAGCTCTGTAGCCAAATTAGGAACTCAAGTAATACACTCAAGCACCTACTCCTGTGAAGAAGATAAACATCCATTATCTTTGACTTAAGATCACTGGTGGCTCTGTGTAACTTCATTTTTGCAGTGGAACTGTTAGGTCAGACAACTGAATCATCTTTGAGGCAACCACTGCCTGGAAATCCTTCCAAGCTTTCCATGAAAGGTGTCAAGGCTGATGGCGTGGTTGTCATTCCTCAAGCAAGCTCCGGAGAGGATGGGGACGTGACACAATGTATATCTTCTTTTTGTTGTCAGTGCTTTAAAAGGAATTATAAGAGGACATTTAAGAGGCCAGACTGTTTCCAGCCAGAACAGGATTGCAGAGTGTGTGGGAACAGGAGGCTACTTCCAGAACGGATCTTGTCTAGGGTTGAATGCAGCTGGCCTCTGCCCTTTCTGATAAGAAAAAAAGGCGCAAAGTAGAAGACTGTACACTTATATATCTTCATCCTTTTGAAAGCCAAACCAAAAGGAGAAATAAGTGGACTCAACAGTTCCTATGCTCATCTCAACCACTGTAGAAGAAGTGTGGTCTCTACCCATACAAGAAAACTGATGAATGACTACATGACCAGATGAATTGGCAGGTCCAAGAAACACAGTTACTAAATAAGGTGGATTTGGACCAAGATCTGCATCCAAATAACTTCCAAGCCCAGTCCAGTCACTTTGATTATGGAATTTAACTATTTTGAGAAAACCTGCAAATACCATATTTGAGTTGTTTCTCATCTCCCATTCATTGGGCAGCACACAGCACATCTGCAGATTCACTTGCCATCTATTTTACCAACCCAAAAGACAAGTAACTCATGCACCACAGAGTTAAAAATCCATCTATCCCTTTTGTTAATAATCGTATGCTAATAGGGATATATTTAATCCATTTAAAATACTTTTTGCTATTGTGTGTGTGTGTATATATATCTATATGAAGGTATGCCTACATGCCCAGAGACTAGAGGCTTCAGATCACCGTGGAGCTAGAGTTCTAGATGGCTGAGAGCCCCTGACATGAGTGCTGAGATGCAATTTTAGATCCTCTGCAAGAGTAGTATGAACTCTTAACCACCAAGTCCTCTTTCTGGTCCCTATTTAATCTTCTTACTCAGCAAAAACTTTAAAATAAGCGATAAACACAGGGACTCAGTGTTCTCTTCGTGATGTGAAACTATAGCAATGTAGTCTTCCCACAACAATCCCCTTTGCTCAACATGATATCAATAAATATTAAGAAATACAAAGTTAATATCTGAAAGTAAAAATTGATATGAACAATTATTACTATAGTCTTAGTGCTTCCGTCCTTCCTAAATTCATGCATTGACATTCCTAATACCAGTATGTTGGTATCAAAAGCTGGGCCTTCAGGATAGGACTTGGCTTCATGAATGGGATTAAAGATCTCATAAAGTCCTGAGGGGACATTTTGCCCCTTCTATCATGGAAGGACACAGCTATAAAGCAGCATATTCAGAGAATACTGAATTATCCAATGTCTTGACCTTGAACTTCAAACATCCAGGGCTACTGTGAGCAATGAATTTCTATATTTATATTAGAAATTATTTATTTATATTAGGTATTATTTATATATTACCCAGTCTGATAACTTTGTTATATCAGTCTAAACAGGCTATGACAAGTACATACACACACACACACACACACACACACCAGCTGGGGGTGGCAGAAAGCAATAAAGATAGAGTAACTTAAGAACACATTGCTGCCGTTCCATATCCCACTTCCACTGTGACTACTATTCATAGAAAGCCTTATATGGACCCTGCTGCTCACAGTCTGGGAGGCCAATGCAGCAAGCACTAATTACTGTGCTTGGAGTTTGTTGAGCTTAATTAAGTAGACTACACTTACACTCAGGTGTATGTCACATCTAGACTTGTTACCAAGGCAACAAAACACCATCTGACACCCCAAGATAAAGCACATATTCTAGAATTCTTTCTGCAGACTAACATTTAAAGTCCAAATTTTAACCTTTGATAAGCAAAAGTAAAATGTTATCATTCAAAATCAAAGCTAGAAACACACTGAACACCAAGACTATGTTGATTTAATTTTACTCATTTGAATGCTAAGTATATGAATTCAGCCAAACAGTAATGACCAACCAATGGTTCCGCAATGCAAATATATGCTGTGTGTTTGTCGATAATACAAACACACAGCATAATACAAACTGTAATAACTTTTCAGAAAGACAGCTTCTTCCTACCAAACAGAGCTTTGGATGAGGATGTAACGCAGTTGGTAGAGAGCTTAGCTAGCATGTAGGAGAGCACGCAGGAAACCTGCACTGAATACAACAGGAGGAAGAGGGCGGCCTGCAGTCCCAGTGCTTGGGGGTGGAGAGGAGAAAATAGGAGATTCAAGAGGATCATCCTTAGTTACTGTGAGTTTGAAACCAGGGCAGGCTGCATGAGCCCTCATCTCAGAGTGTATGTTTGAGGCTACAGTGGACTTGGCTTTCCTTGCTACAGGGCAGATGCGTTGTTTGTGGAGAAAACAGACTAAACTCAAGAATCTAATATGCTACATTGTCTCTTTCTGCCTCTGCCAACTCCATGACCTTTAGGATCGAACAACAAAAGCACACTTACCTAATTTCCAAGCAGCACTAAGCATTTTATACATGTTGACACATTTAATCACAGTCTTTGTTATAGGTGTTAGACCATAACCATGGCAAGTAAAACTCTAAAACTGGTAGTGGTGTGAGTATGGGTGAACATCATCATTAATATGGTGTCTTAGAAATAAACTCTTTGAACAATGTGAGGAAAAAGCAATCTTACACCAAACACACAATTACTAAAGGGAAATAACCAAGGTCAGTGAATGGTATCTACAAAATGTAGTGGAATTAAATAATTCTTGCATCATTCTGACTGCACAGAAGTGTAACAAATGCTGTGTGTGCTTGGTTTCTCGGAGACAAGAGAACATGGCTAGTAACTAGTGCCATGATGCTAAAGTCACAAAATGGCAATAAACACTCTATTTTGTTGGAAGAATTAGACAGCTCAATAAGACTCCTACATAAATTTCACAAAGATCAAAAGAGAGCAGGGGTAAAATAATAATAATAATAATAATAATAATAATAATAATTTAAGGGAAAAAATGTTCAAACTTTAAGTTGAAGTATTTGTGTTTGGAAAAATAAGCCTTTTCTTACAGATTCTGGTCAAATCTTTGACGTTAGTACACAATGGCACAACCAAACCTTCATACAGTCTCACCTAGTCCACAAATGTGTCATAAATAAGAGAGAACCCCCAGAGAGGCTATTCCTCAATAACTCCCACTTCCGTTCTATGTTTATCAGGGCAAAACAATACTTGTGGGATGATTTCTCTCTAGTAGGTCCTCTTTAGTCCTTAAATGTTCTCTGAAAATTTATGTCCTCTACAACCTATTACGCATAGCTTCACAGTCATCTGATAGAAAAGGAAATTTTAAAAAAATCTGGCAAGAATGTGGGATGCTACAGAAGAGAGATATTTGTAAGACATTACTAAAATTAAAAATCTCACATTCCCAGATGATAAGGACATTACAGCAGATTGCAGTTTACAGTAACTCAGTCAATGTGAAAACATACCAACAGGTCTACCCTAATTCAGCTCTCCATAGACAACAGTTCCAAGCTGCTTTGTGCTGTAGATCGAAGCCTTTCTAGGAAGGAAACACAACGAGCCAGCTTAAGCCCTAGCAAAAATGACCATTTCTATCTTTGTTGAGCTTGAAGATTTCACATTCACAATTCACCCTCAGGTGCAGCCTGGTGGGAGGAGCTCTGGCCAAGACTTTGTTTCCTAAAGTGTGGTCTTAAACTGTTACTGCCTCCCGAGTGTTCGGTTGTAATTAACTGATCCTGAAGAATGCTGTGACCCATGCCCCGGTCACTGTTAGTTTTTTTGTTGTTTAGCTTGGTTTGTTTGGATTTTTTGTTTGTTTTATTTGTTTTGCTTTTTTGGATTTTTGTTTGTTTGTTTGCTTTTGGTTTTTTGGTTTTATGGAGACAGGGTTTCTCTGTGTAGCCTTGGGTGTCCTGAATTTGCTTGGTAGACCAGGCTGTCCTGGAACTCACAGAGACCTGCCTGCCTACGCGCCCCTGCGCCTGGCTGCTGCCCCTGTGTTTAGTGAGGCAATGTCCAAAGCTCTGCTCTTTTGGAGCAGCTGTGGCAGGTGCACTGAAAGGTGCCGCAGGAGCAGCGCCCTGAGGCCCTGCTCACACCCACTTCCTTGCCACCTGCACTCTTCCCGTGCAAAGGGACACCAGGCAGCTCCAAGTTCAGCTCAAGCCTCAGGCTGCTTGTGCAGATCCTGACCGATGGCTTGACGAAGGCCTTCCAGCTGAATGAAGGATGCCCCACCAAATGAGGTGGAGTAGTGACCTTCCCCTTTAACATTGTGCCTCAGGGTTAGTTTAGGCCATAGTTGGAACTGAGAGCTGCCTTACTGGCTCGCTCCTCACAGGACATGGAATCCTCTCCTGTTAGTCTAGCCTGCATGCCCACAGTCTCAGCGATCCCACTCTGCACAAAGGCAGCTAAGAATAAGGGATGGGAGAAAGACAGCTCCCACTTCTAATGTCACTCAGGAGTAAACAGCCTATACAGAGTGAGATTAGCCAAAGGCATTATTGTCTGATTTTCTAGGCAAGCAAGAAGGCCTGTATCCAGCCAAATCCGGTAAGAGGTGAGGCCACATCATTGTCCCTTAAATGTGACATTCACTCCTCACACTGTTCCAAAAGAACAGCTCAGCCTCTCACACATGATAAGCAAAGAGTTGATTTAGCTCTTTGCTTTGAGATTTTATTTTTCCAGCCGACCTTCTGCAAAATATCACAGGAGCCTGTGACTCAAGCTTTACAGTAACATATGCTTTAGGAGTTTAATTTGGTTTTGAGCAGGATTAAATGTGCCAAAAATCAGACCACAAGATATTCATAATGAGGGACAGAACACAATAGTCACCTTAAGTGAAGAGTAATTATATAACAAGAATTCCCAAATTGCTTGATGGCGTTTTCTTGTGGAGACAGGCACAGCTGCCACGCTGAGTAAATGCCAAATTTTATTCTTTTCTCCCTGTTTCCAAGAAGAGAAATCCCCTCTGCCTTGTGCAGGCTTCCTGGTTTTTCTCCAGTGCATTCACATGTCCTCACAGGCTATCACTGGGGCAACTTGATCTTTTTCTTGGAGTACATCTTGGCCTTTGTACAACTGAGTGTGTAAGGTGTACGTGTGTGTGCTAGGATGTCAGTTTTGTTATAATTAAAATTTATATTAAATCAGGATCATGTATGTATATAAAAATGGATATAGAATGTTAGAGAAAAGCAATGTAAATGTTTAAAAATATTTCTGCTTCCAATATATTTTCAGTTGACCTGTTGAGCTGATAAAAACATTTAGAATATATCAGACTCTTCTATAAACCAAAAGGTTTAGTGCATCAGGGAGTCAGGGAGAGGGAGCAGCATGTAACATGGGCAGAGCTTAGTAAGGAGGAAATAGACTGTTTTTTCCTGGAAGCTTAGCGACCTTTGGGCAACATTGCTACAGAGGGGCTCCAATGGCCTAATTTTCAATGGAGCTATGCAGGAGTGACGGTCTCATGGATCTAAGACACTTCTGAAGCTGAAGAAAGCTCTCCGCCCTGCCCACAAACCCAGAGTGAATTCGCTCCCATAACATGATGTGCTTACGACTATGTGAAACAGCTAACTTGGGGTTTGCCTTATAGAGCACAAAGTTGGGAACGTAGCCCTGACACAGCAACCCTACACCTGATCCACTCTATGAAAAGGATCTTTCATTCTCTACTTCAGATTATTGTATTTAAGCTCAAGTTGGTGACCTCTGAGAGTTGAAGTGACTTCTGCTCTACCTTTCTGCACCCTGAGCACTGTGCTGTAGAGAACGCTTACTAGGTTAAATATGTATTTGCATGCTAGTTATATGAGAGATAGGACAACTGCTATGCACAAAAGCAACAGATTCATTTCAGGTTCCAGTTATTTTACTCAGAAAGGAGGTCTGTCCTTTCCCCGATCTTAAACTCAGACACACCCGTATCTCCCCACCAATCTGCCGCCCAAGTCTTTTCATGCCACCATTTAAAGCACCAGCTTAAGAACAACCCAGATATGTAAATTAATCTCTCCAACACTAAGGGGAAAGTCAACATTGACTGGGAACTAAAAACGAGAGCAATATGAATGCAGCTTCTCTTTCCTGTCCCTGAAATATGAACAGGATTGAGTAGTTTTAACTGGAAAGCCCCCTAGCTTCACTATGGCAACAGACTGAGAGCTGGAAGTGACCCAAATCTGAATAACTAGCTTGTAGCGACCTGTCTCTTGACTCCCTCATTCAGCCTTCAATAAAGACCTGGATTGACCTTCTAAAAGATAGTTGGACTTCATATTACTTCCCTGCTCAAAAATCACAAAGGATCTCACAACTCCTCGCATTGGCATGAAGGATGTTTACTCATTTATTCAAACCACCCTTTCAACCTCAGCCAGCATTGTCCCCTCTACATGCTCTTTCCCCCTTTCTCACAGGCCCCACTGTCGCCTCTACTTTCCATGCTTTCCCAGTGGGGGGCATTCATACTCTGAAGTTTTTCTTCAATTATCTGACTCTAGGTCCTAACCATAATGATCCAAGACATATTTACATTTACAGAGGCACCTGTGTGTTAGTCCATGCCAGTAGTTCCAGCACTGGGAGGCTGAGGCCAGACCAGCTTGGGCAATGCAGTGAGACCTTGTTTCAAAAAGCAAAAACCAACAACAACAACAAAGGAGTCAAAGAGATGGCTCAACACTTAAGAGAGTTGCTTTTCCAAAAGACTCAGGTTCAATTCCCAGCATCCACATGGCAGCTCACAAACATTGCATAGCTCCACTTCTAGGAGATCTGACACCTTCTTCTGGCTTCTGCAGGCAGCTGGAATGCATGCAGTGCACAGACATACATGAGACAAAATACCAATACATATAAAATAAAAAGTAAATAAATCTATTGCTTTAAAATAAGAACAAAGGCTTGGGCTTCAGTTCCAGTGACATGGCTAAATGAACCAAGAAGGTCGGGATCGTAGGGAAATGTGGGAGCTGCTATGGTGCCTCCCTCCAGAAAATGGTGAAGAAGATTGAAATGAGCTAGCATGCCAAGTACACTTGCTCTTTCTGTGGCAAGACCAAGATGAAGAGACAAGCCGTTGGCATCTGGCACTGTGGTTCCTTCATGAAAACACTGGCTGGTGGGGTCTGGATCTACCACACCCCTTCTGCCATCAGAAGACTCGAGGAACTCAAAGACCAGCAGAAACATCTACTGTTTGAGACTTGCCTAGTCTGCAATAAATGGGTTAATTTACATTTAAAAAAGAAAGAACAAAGAACTAAGTAAGTCAAGCTTCTGAGTACTTGGAAGAGAGAGAGAGAGCCTCATCTGTTTTTAGAATCCTCTCAATAAGGAGAAAACTTTGTACTGGATAGAACTTATGTAAGATTTATTGAATAGGAAATTGTAGGATTGACCGGGTTATTGGGTAAGAAGATAACAAGGGAATAGAGAAATGGTCGGACAGGTGAGCAATTAAATAGCTGGATGGACAAATAAGTGGTGTCGTTGCATAAGAGTCAAGAGACAGAGTTACATTTCACACTTGACAATTGAACAAAATTCTGAAAAAATCAATTAGCTGCATTATTCTTGGCTAATCCAACTTTGTTCATACAGATATTTTGATGTTAACTTTGTTCCTCTGTCTTATACCCAAGAGCTATTTATATGCGCACATGAAATTGTATTTTAATTAATGCCAACCCAGATCCAATTTTTAAAAACTATATAACCAAATTCCCTTTTAATCAACTACAAAAATAGTTTCTCAATAGTTATTGTTTGCAATACAGTAATCTTTATATCTGTGGAAAATATAGGTTTTGGAGCCATCAATATATGAGCATAGGTCTCCGAATGTCCAAAGCCAGGCCATGAAAGCCATACTCCAGCAAGCTGGTGCTGTTTGTCCTTAAGCACACAGCCTACTCTTGTCTACAGCTAAATGTGGTGACACCCTGATCTCCAGCAATTGGCAGATCTTAGGAGGCTACAGAAACAGGCATGAGTCACACCAGTGTGTTTTCTGAAACAAGCACTGGTGTATATAATATCAGCTAAGGGCAGGCTAGAAAAAATGCACTAAAAGTGGCTAGAGTGACATGCCAACATGGCTGGGGGAAGTCACATGCGGCCAACCCTAGATGAAGAGATACAGACAAAATTGCTGAGAGAGGGAGAACCAATCTTCTCCAAGGACAGGCCTACTGACAGGTTATCTAATCCTACCTGGTAAGCTCTAAACACATATACATCTGAGCAAAACTAAATGGGCTCAGCAGATTATATTTATTCATCCATAAGAGTGTGTGTGTGTGTGTGTGTGTGTGTGTGTGTGTGTGTGTGTGTGATAATAATTAAAGAGGAGGTCACAAATTTGAGAGGAAGTGGGGACAAAAGAAACGCTAAAGGCAATGGGCAGTGGTGGAAATGATGTCAGTATAGTACTCACATATGAAATTCTCAAAATAATTTAAATTTCTGATTAAAAATGATAAAATAAAATGTTATGAAGCTCATTTTAAGTATAAAATCTGCTTAATATTTTGTGTAGCCATATTGCACACCCTGCCTATATCTACCACTGTCAAAAGTCTGGAGTTTTTCCATATCTGCTGGTCTGAGCCCGTCATGGAAACAGAATTAAGCAGATGGGTCACAAACAATAAGGAGGGATAAACAACCCTACAGGCTTCCTAAAAAAAAGCCCAAATTTGGGTGTGAATAGAAGATAAATGGGGATTTGAAGCTACGCAAAGGGAACTATGCAAACAACAGAGGGAAGATGATCCATTCTACAGGCTGCCAGGACAGCACTTGGAGGAAAGAAATGTCATGGTAGAAAACAGCTGGAGAGAAGCAGGATTGGCCACTGACCCAACACAAACCATGAACTTACTTCAAAGGTAAGCACCTAAGTATGCACAGCTGTTGTTTGGTTGGTTGGTTGGTTGATTGGTTAGTTGGTTGGTTGGTTGGTTGGTTGGTTGGTTGGTTGGTTGGTTGGTTGGTTTTAAAGACAGGATTTCTCTGTGTAGGCTTGACTGTCCTGAACTCGCTTTGTAAACCAGGCTGGCCTCAAACTCTGCTTCCCCGAGTGCTGGGATTAAATGTGTGTGCCAGCATGCCTGGCTGCATGCACATTTTTTTTTTTTTTTTTTGCATGCACAGTTCTTAAGCATGAAGTTTTCAGACAACTACATGGTGTTACTACTGTTGTACGGTAATGGACCTGAAAGGAAGTTAGGCGTTAACCTGGGAGACAA